TTTGTAGAAGGGGTGATGGGAGGATGAGTTGTAATGATGTATATAGAACAATTAGAGAAATACTAAGTAAGAGTGAAGTGGCGTAACTGAGAAGGTATGATTGCCAATTGCAAAAGTCTCGTTCCCCCAAAATGCTGAGATGGGTTAACAGTCACAAGCTTAAAGTAAACTGAAGTCTGTTTTCTTGCTTTTTGGTTTTAGACCCTTTAGGATTCATTGGCATCACATTTCCAAGTTCTCTCCTGCAAAGACTGAGGACTAGGGAATTGCCTGTTTAAAAAAAAATAAATAGAAGCCCCTGTCCTTACATAACAAGTTATGTTCAGGAGCTGGGATTTTCATTAATGCATCAAAATGGCAAGACTGTTGGTAAAATGGTAGGAATTATAGTAAAGCTGCATGCCTGGGATGGGCCTATAGTGAGGTGTGTGCTTTATCTGAATGGAGGGAGGAACTTGAGCTGTCCAGAGGTGGTTTTTGGATGAGGCACTCTGCAGGCACGTGATTTAAATGTTAGCTGCTGTTGACACCTCGTGAAATCCCAGTCTGATCTGAGGCAGAGCATAGAACAGGCCTGTTGACTTTTGAAGACAGGGGCTATATACCGTCACAAGTCTGGTTCATCCACCAAATACCCACACAGAGCAATGCAGAAGGTAACAGTGCAAGGTACAAGTCCTGGTTTCTAGTGTACGTGAACATCTGACACACTCTGGCCTTCAGCGAGTTAACTGAACTCTTTGTATTGGCATAGAGAAGGGTGTGATTGAATGGACTTGTTGCATAAAAATTGTCCTGCTTAAGCCATGGGATATTTCCTGCTCTTGTTCTCTTCCCTCTCATCAAAATGTGTCCGGTTTTATAAGGCCCATCACTGGGAGAGAAAATATTTGGTCCTACCTGAATTAACACTTTTAGTGACAGGCATATTATATACCGGCATAGACTGGTAGAAAATTTTGTCATCTTTTTTCTGAAATTCAGCCCGACTAGAAAGCTGGTTAAACAGCATGAGACCCTTGGAAAACAAATCTCTTTTGTTATTTCTTGGTAAGGTTTTACTCAGAAAACTCACCTCAAAGAGTTTTTTTTCTTTTTTTCAGTTTTATTTATTCCTCAGCATGCTGACTAACACCGTCAGCCTGAGTGTACTGGACAGAAGGTAAATTTGACCCTGTGATCAGAGAAGAGGGCTGGTCCTGTGGTTAGAGCACTAGCGTAGGATTTGAGAGACCCTGGTTCGTTCAGGTCCCCGTTCTGCTCCAGGTTTCATCTGTGACGTGCCCCAAGATGCTTGGCATCTCTCCCTCAGATCCCAAGGAGAAGTCAGCAAAGAGTTACTAGAGCTAAACAAATGTTGGGGGAAGAGCTGATGAGTCCTTTGCCAAAACCTTTTTGTGACTCCAGGCCAAAGTCATGGAATAGTTTAGCCAAAACAAAAATGGCAAATTTAAAAAATAACAAAAAATATTCCACGGTAAACAATTTCCAATTTTCATGTACAGTTTTCTGGTAATTCTGATCATTTCCAAAACTAGTCAGGGGCATTTCTTTTTTGCATCATCAAAATATTCTGGGAAGAAAACATCTATTTTAATATGAAGGAAATAACTCTTAATTGAAGGCCCAGCTAAAGGTCTATCACGCAACCCTACTTTTGTAATGATATTTTCCCCCAATTATAATCACGCGATATTTTTAAGGAATAAGGAAAGAAATTTTAAAAACAAAATTACAGAGTGCCTGGATGTCTCAAAAGGGCATGTGATAGTAGAGCCTTTCAATACCAAGGCCCGGTCTTCACTGCTAGAAAGGTATATTCTTTATGTAGGGGTAACTAAAACACATGAATTCTGCCGTAGTGAAAATACATTGAAGACAACAAGGTTCTTTAGTTTTACCGATGTCAGCCGCATGTATATACCACCACAAGTTTGCCTTGTGATAAAACCAAAGTGCTTTGTCTCCATTGTGTTATCGCCTTGGGATAGCTCACACACATTAGTTACCCTGAAATGTTAAAAAATACATCTTTTCTAACAGTGAAGACAAGGCCTAAGTTGATGATTCAAACCCACTTGAAATTGGAAAATCATAAAGAGATGTATGACCTTCATGCAAACAGTTATTGGTTGCAGCTCTGTCTCTGAGCAGGTATCTATATCACACAAATGCTACTCCTGTAGCAGTTAACGCTGCCTGGTCTCCTTAGCAGAAAGGCTTATGCCTTAGGGTTCTTGGGGTATCTTGTTTCCCAACCGTCACCCTGCTGGCTTTGGTCAGCACAGGTTGGTAAGCAACACAAAGAAGCATGTGCTCCTAATTTTTTCACAAATTGCATGTTAGATTTTGAAACAGAAATAATGTTGAAAATTGAATTCAGTTCAACGGGGTTTAATTATATCTGCATATATGCTGCCACAGTTCATTATGTAAGGAATAAATAAAAATGTTAAGGATTGGGCCCCATTAGTTTCTTTTCCTGGTTTATTCTAAAATAGAACCAAAAGGGCTCTCACATTTGGAGTGCGTATTAAGAGGCTTACGTTTTGCATGCTACTCCGGTCTGGTACTCCTATGGTGTTCATCAGTTATAGTTTTCAGGGGTTCTGGTTGCAGCAATGGATATGGATTCTTGGAACATACCCGGCTCCCCCAGGAAGCAGGAATATTTGGGCCTCTAGTGGATATGGGGGACATCTATTGAAAACTGCTCTGAAAGGGCCGGTTTTGGCTCTCTGATTCTAAATGTGTGAGATGTTGGAAAGGATTTTAAGCATTAGATCCAGTGGGTTCAACAATTACTAGCCTTACGTGTGCAATAAAAAGTCACTAAGAAAAAGTCATCCAATTTTTTCAGTTCCAGGACATTTAATATTATAATGCTGGGGAGAAATACCTTTGCAACAGAGAACTTTTTAACTGTGAAAAATGACAGAGTAAACAGTGTCAGATCTTAATTTCCAGAAATAACACCGTATGTGCTAATTGCTGCTTTCGTCTTTAAAATCCCAGAAGGGAGATTTTAATAAACCTGGTGGTGGTGGTATTATTATTATTATTATTATTATTATTATTATTATTTTGCTAAACCTTGTCAGGGTCTGTATTTAACCTGAAGCTTCAAGAGCGTTCACCTTAGTCCCTTTCCACCTGCCACCTTCAGAGCAAGTAAATTGACCCATTTTCAATTATCTGTGCACTTTAGTTTTTGAAATTTGGTGAATTAACTGGAGGGGCAAGCTATCAACAGTGGAAGAATAGGTAATTGAATTAATCTATTCAATATCTTTATGTAAAGGGAGCGATGTTGTTTTTAAGTTTTCCTGTACCTTCTGATCAGTTCCATTTTTTTTTTTAGTAGTATTTGAGATATTTTTGGTCGTAACAGCTCAGAAATCCCATAAATATCACTGCCCTTCGTTTCATCACTCCATAGCATTATTTTCAGCCACTTCACATTAAAAGGTTTATTTTATAGCTCTGAAACTTTTGTAATGTTTAGAGGCAGAGGTCAAATCTGCATCTAATGTGTTAGAAGCTGAAACCTATATACAGTAAGCAATTTAATTTGTTATTAATGGCAGATAGCTCCCAGTCAGCTTCTCTTTTCCTATGCAGCCTGGAAGCCTTAGATCCAAGCAAATCTAAGTTGTGTGGCTTCTATCCATAAAACTGCAGAGTAATAATACAGATGGTTTTTTAGTTACTGGGAAAAAAATTCTGATGCTTACCATATTTTGCAGTCATTTCACTTTAATAACTCAGGAACTTGGTACTATGTAATGCTCTGGTAGGGTGGTATATGACTCCTGTCACTGTTGCCACCTGAGCAGCAGAAGAAAATCTTATCAAACTGACCTTGATACCACACTTTATACTCCCCATAGTGGTTCTGTTAAGGATCCAGCGTCCATTAGAATACCTTGGGAAATGGGGAGCTAGGACTCCTTGTTTTTAGTGTAATCTCTTTCACTAAATGCTATGAAACTTTCTCTTAATCATTCTATACCATGTTATCCACGTATAAATTAGGTAATAAAATTTAATTACCTTGCCATGGGTTCTCTGGGACATAATGACTGCAGAGCAGCCTTGGCCCATGCCTATGGAGCAGGTGCTGGAGGACTGGCTGGTTACGTGATGCAGGTCCCTTCATCATTTTCAGCTGCTACCACTGCTCCCCTGACCCTTTACTGCAGCCTGTTGCAGCTTCTGTTCACAGTTAGTAGTGGAAATAGTTTTCACAGGGAGGTAGCACAGTGATGAAGAGTAGATGAGTCACATGATCGCAGAGAAGAGTGTGCTAGATGGTCTGCTCAAGCATGAGTGAGGGGGGAGGAAGATAGTCCATGGGACAATTTCTCCAGGCTCTCACTCAAGAAGACAGCTTTATGCACACACTCAAGTTCCTTAAAAGCCCTGAATAGGGATGGATTTAAGCCCATATTTGATTGCATTCTTGAATCTGACCTTCTGTCAAGACTACACTGTGAATTAAATGAGAATCCTTTGCATCAATTGAAAGGTGCTTTTGAAGCCCCACTGTAGCTATTGCATCACTGTATGAAGCAGGCATGAAGCCACCACCTGCAAGTGCTTTTTGGCTCTTATGAAGTGACTCCTGTGGCAACACGTAGAATGTCAGAAAATAACTTAAGAGGTGTTTTGGTTGTAAAGTTTTCCCCA